GGAAATGATTCCTTGTGCAATGTCTAAAACTATATAAGTGCACCTAAACTAGTTTTATAATGTTTAATATAATATCGTATTAAAAGTGTTCACCCACTTTTGAGTTTGACTGAATCCCATGATTCTATTAAGTTCTTTCATTCCTATAAAAGAAAAAAAGTTCCGTTTGTCCGTTGATATAAATGGAATTAGTTAATAAGAACACGAAGGGTTGGCGATAATTTCTATTTTGCACTTCCATTATAACCTCGGGTTTAAATGCCCTCATGAAATGCGAGCATTAATTAAGTCTTGTACTATTTGTATAATTTTAAAATCTCATATTTCAACCAAACTCATAATTTTTTTTATTTTACTTTTTGTCATTTCCGAAAATAAATCGTTTGCTGATAGCTTTCCATGAATCACATCATCCAGTACAAACAACGCTTCAATGAGTCCACCATCACTCTATGTGAAGTCCGATGGTTGATGATGTTGGGCAGTTCAGTCGGACAAGGCTACTAGGGTCATCGTATGCATTAGTTAGTTCACCTAACTAAATATGGTCAAGAATAAGCGACACTATATCAAAGGAACTTTTTCGATAACTTATACGAACTGGCCCTCTACACGTGAATATTTTTTATGTTTATTTAGCATTCACAATCTTCGTTTTTAGCCAGGTTTTCTTTAATTTTGCTTATATTCTACAGGATCGATTTTTAACGCTGCGTAGTGAATATCGACTGCCCCATATTATCCCGTGGATATCGTTTAAGGCGACAGAGGGATACTGTATCAGGAGATGGACAGCAGTATCTTCCTGATAATGACCGAAAATAATGAAAAAATTGCGCCAACCTGCCGGTCAAGAATGGAAATTATGTCAAATTCCCTCCTATGATACAAACTATGCTATTGTATAAGTAAAGCCTATATTTGGCAGTGGACTTTTCATATTCTGTAATAAAAGAACGAGGTTCGGTTGGTGTGCGCTTGGGATAACAGCCAATGTTTCTTTTTGGATAGTTAAACGATCCATTAATACCAACATTAATAATGATACGAAAGGTGCTGATATCTATTTTAAAGACTTTTACATCCGTCTTCACAGACATTATTATAAGGTCTCATAGTATGCTTGAACCCACAGGGTACATAAAACTTAATCATAAACAGCACTTGAGGGACGAGCGACACTATGCGTTCATTATAATGAAGTAACAGTTAAAGTAACTCGCTAGCTTATTTACTATACGCATAGTGCGGCAAATCAAGATAATGATTGCTTCCACTATAGACCAAAACGGGCCACCGGCGGAGTCAGCGACCCGTGTTGATCTATGGCCTCCACAGACTTATTATACCTAGAATGGTAACGGTATTGTTAGAAAAGATGTATGATAATTTTTTTATCCTTATCTTCGTGTCCACTTATATGCCGTCCTACCGTCAAAATTTGAAATTTACGGTGTAAGAATATCTACTACCCCACATCGTCGAGTGGGTTTCGTAAGATGCGAAAGAGAGAAAGAAAACAGGAGATGGGCAGCCGGATCTTCTTAGTAATAAGTAGAAAATAAAAAAGCTAAGATTGCTAAATCGTCTGCTTAGCTTGGGAAATTTGACAAATATCCTTCTGACGAAGCAAATCATTGAGGAGGCCCACATAGCATATACATTGGATTTTGTTAGGTTGTAATGAATTAATATATAAAAAATCCCTAATGTTATGGAAATAATAGTTTTTTTTTTTATGGCAACACTCAATGTATAAGGCAAAACACTGAAGTGGCCACGCAAGATGCTAGTCTATGAGTGTGATCTGAGTTGAATTTTTATTGATATTTTTTTCTAATTTTTTTTGTTTGAAAACTTTGTTTTGGATTACAGTTGCAAATATGACAATTATATCTTTAGGAGAAAAATCCTACAAAGAACGATCAAGATTAATACAATAAAAAAATTACTTTTAAAATAATTTCGGTTATAACAGAGCCGATGATTTTGAAAGTCGCTATATTCTAACATAACCACAGAATATATACTACTTAGCCACTTCGTATAGATTATTATTATAGATCGATATGCTTGGGCCTCTCCTATAGATTGCATCATAGGGGGGATATGTGCCATTATTGTCATTTAGTGTAGTTCATGAAATCCATAAGTATAGTTTATGAAATGAGTGGCTTGCCATTCCGAAGCCACAGAAAAACATCTTACTTTTCATAATATTGCTGTTATGCTTAAGAAAATTATGTATGTGAATACGAGCATTAGTTTCTAACTAAATACAATACGAGAAATATATAGAACATATAAGAATAACCCTGCAGTTCCTATATGGAAATAACTTTGCTTCAGAAAATTAGACCATAAAAATTAAACAAAAACAAAATTATTTTTATTTGCAAATTGAACGTAGTTTTATTACCTCTAACTGACACGCGCATTGGTAAAGGAGGGTCTTTGATAATCTTAATGGCAACTCTTACTCCCTAGCCTATGCAAATCTAATAAAACCACAACATACAATTTGCAAATAAGTTTGAAGTTATACTTCTTTTGGGGCGTTGGGAAAAATGATGAGAGTGAATTTTTACGACGCGCGCGCACACCGACACCTAAAAACGACACCATGAAGTTGTTACGATGCGCGCGCACACTCACACCTAAAAGCGACAACTTCAGTGGGTAATTGTCTCCCAAGTTTTTTGTTTTCTTACGCTAAAGAATTATAACTTCCGTAATATTGTGTGCGTACATTAGTACACACATTTATTTTTATTAAATTGAAATGAAATCTAATTTTCTCAAATAAAGATATTTCGATTCGTTCGAATACCGATTCTGATAACGCACTTTTTTATAGGAATAGGGTGACAAACGAGCATACAGTCCACCTGATGGTAAGTGGTTGCTGTAGCCCATAGACATCTACATCTATCCTGGATAACACATCAAAATGCAGATGCGTCGTCACCCGTGAGGACTAAGATGAAATGCCTCGGTTCCAGTAAGAAGGGTCTCCGGTTCTCTACACTCACCATACGAAACACACCAGCGTTAAGCTGCTATTTTACGCTGATATTCTGTGAGAGCGTGGTCCTTCCCCGGTCGAGCCGACCCATTCGTGCTACAGCTATACCACTACTACTACAGCTATACACTAACTGCCGCATGACTCTATCACGTAGAAAAGTTACTTAACTTACGTTTTTGTTACATATTGTATTTTAATCGATAATGAAAAAGGATTATATTTTTATGACTTCTTGATAAATTTTAAAAAATAAACTCGTTATATTTATTGCAACTTATTTATATTTCATATGTCACATACAACATAATACTGCTTCAAAATTCAGTATGCTGAAAATCAAATATGTTTTTAAGAAATTAAATTGTTTTAAGTGCCTTTTTTTAAGAGCCGTGGTAGCTCAGATGGTTATCGCTCGCTGTAAGCTTCACAGTACTCGAGCCACCCGGGTTCGATCCCCGCCGGTACCAATGAAATTGAATGGAATGTTATTTGCAATTTTAAGTGCTGATTTACCACGTGCTCGGCGGTGAAGGAAAACATCGTGAGGAAACATGCATGACTGAGAAATAAGAAAAAAATATTTTCAAAGACAGAAAATATTATAAAACCCTCTCAGAAATGAGAGGAGGCCTGTGCCAAGCAGTGGGACGTAAATAAGCTGCAACTTTAAGCGCCTTTTCAATTTAATACCTTAAAGGAGAACGACAGATTTTGTACCGCATACTTTTTTTGTTGTTTTGTTATTAATTTGTACCACATATTAAGGATTAAACTTACATCTATATACAAATGTATAAGCGGATTACCACTGACTTACACACTCATCACGAGATCTCCATAACTATACGCTCGATTGACTAGAAATTTGGCAATATATACTTCTTCCTCAAAGTAAACACTCACTAAGAAAGGATTTTGGAAAATTCAACCCTTGAGGAAGTGAAATAGGGTTTTACAGCTTGTATTTTATATTTCCGATATTCTGAGTGCTGCAAAGCATTCATGATCACAGAGACAGATGTATATCTTACCTTTTTCATCTAGTACGATAAAATCTGGTCTAATATAGTTAAAACATTAAGATAACATCATTTTCTAATGATTGGCAATTGCGGTACACGTCATGCCAACAGTTTTTAAGACCACTGTTGGACTTAAAAACTTGAACTTGAAATTGAAATGACTGAAAGTTATGAATCAGCATTTAAAATTAATTTACAGACTTTATTTAGTCGTTACTCGTTCATTTATTAGATGTTCACTGCTGTACACAAAAGGAAGTCCCTAAGGAAAGTCACAAAACCTGAGATATCTGGAATTATAGACTTCGTGCATGTCTTATCAGTTTGTCACTCCCTATTGTGAAGAGCCGCCCATAACACTTCGCTTACCAGTAGGAGGCTACACTGCAGAATCAATGACCCATAGCTGCTTTAACTTACTGAGCTTATAGATATCTCGGTAAATTATCTTTCGTAAACATTTGCCCTGATTAAAACAGTATTGTTTGGGATGGAGACAAAACATCGTTTGCAAGTTGTACGAATACTGGGTGACCGGTTTGATAACAACCACGATACGCGTGATTTATTTAATTTACAAAAATGACGACGCATATTGTGGCTCTCATGCGAGGTTTTTATGTCGAAATATTTTACATGCACATATTTGTTTCAGCCCTTTCGCGCTTATGTCGTCGTAGTTTAAGAGATATGAATGAAATTGATATTCATAGGGCAATGCACACGAATATAAAATATTCCTTTCCATATAATTAATAATGATATTGTGTAAATTGGTCAAAATACAACGATAAGTGCTAAGTAAGTCGGAAATAATCTGTCATCTGTGAGCTATTTTGGCATGCGGTGTAAGAGTTACACTATAATGTATGGTGGAATTGCTTAAAGTATAATATCTACGCGATCGAAGTTGCAGGCAAACGCTAGTATATTCTAAACCAGTTTAACAGTGTCTATATATCGTTATATATAAAAATTACGTGTCACATTGTTCGTCCGCGATGAACTCCTAAACTACTAAACTGATTTCAATGAAATTTTTCACACTGTGCGCAGTTTGGTCCAACTTGAGAGATAGGATAATTTTTATCCCGATAAGTGACCTTCAATATTTTTTTATTACGAATTTAAGGATTTTATCATACGAAGGGTCGTTGGAAAGGGCAGAACAACGTCTGCCTAGTCATAGAGTATATATATATATATATATACATATATATATATATATATATATATATATATATATATATATATTATATATATAGGTACTGTATAAGCCGTGTAGTGGCGGTTAAGAATATCCACTACCCCATATCTTCCCATGGGTGTCGTAAGAGGCGACAGTGGGAAACAGTCAGGAGATGGGCAGCAGCATCTTCCTGATAACAGCAATATCACAATAAAAAACTGCGGTTGCCAACTCGCTCGCCAAGCGTGGCAACTATGGCAATATACCCCCCAAAGGAATAAAGTTACTAAGAGACGGCCCCCCGTCCCAGGCGGCCCCGCAATTTCTGGCTACGGTGGCGACCATGGTAACGGCGGTGCAGGGGGTGCTAAGAATCTCCGGTGGAGGTTCGGTTGCCACCTACGACGGCTCGACCTGGCAACTTATAACGCACGCACCCTGAGGACTGACGAGAAGATCCTGGAGCTGAAGGAAGAGATAGACAAGTTGCGCTGGAATATTATAGGACTATCTGAGGTCCGAAGAGAGGGGGAGGACACGGTAATCATCGAATCCGGCAACTTGTTCAATCACCGGGAGGGCGACCATCTGTCCCAAAGAGGTGTCGGATTTATCGTCTACAAGTCTCTCAACAACGTTGTAAAGATTGGGAGTGTGTCGACGAAGGTCGCGTACCTTATACTCAGAATCACCAAACGGTATTCGCTGAAGGTCATACAGATTTACGCACCAACCTCGGCACACCCCAATGAGGAGGTGGAGGAAATGTATGAGGATATCTCTAAAGCCATGCATTCCTCCAAAACCCACTATACGGTGTTAATGGGAGACTTCAATGCAAAACTAGGAACAAGAGAGAACAGTAAGCTGAAAGTAGGGAAATTCGGAAACGGACACCGAGGGGCTAGTAGATACAATACAAATACAAATACTCACGCCTGTCACCCAGAGGGGTAGGTACAGACTACGGACTTCCATTTGGCGCGATCCTGATACACCTCTCTCGCTTCCTTCACATCCATATATCTACGCATACACACTCGTCGGTTAATGGTACTCCTAATCTGGCCCATTTTCAATGTATCGCCGATTTGGTCGATAAATCTTCGTCTAGAGCGTCTCTTCCGGAATTGGCCGTTCACTTCTGAAACATAAATTTGCTTTGTCACTCTTTCCTCGTTCATTCTTTCTACGTAACCAAACCACCGAAGCATTCCTTTTTTATATTTAATAGAATCAGGCGTTACTTTGTGGAAATCCATTATATAAAAGATTTTAGAAAAATTTACTTCGCAAATATCCGCGTTATAAAATAAAATAATGTGTCTTACCTAGTATGAAGAGCACCACCCGCCCTCACTCAATTGCGTGCACTATCCCCGTTACCACTAATCCCAGCACCGCTACTCCCAACACTACTATACTAGGCAAGACACACCACTGACGATAATACGACACGTGTTTCGCCTCTACACGAGACATCCTCAGGTGATATAGACTCTACGGAGTCTATATTACCTGAGGATGGAAGAACAATGGTGGGATTACACCGAAGGCGTGGAACAGAAGTGCGGTGGTCTTGTTCTTCAAGAAAGGTGACAACGCTCTCTTGAAAAACTACAGACCGATTTCCTTTCTGAGCCGCGTCTACGTGCTGTTTTCGAGTGTCATTACGAATCGTCTCGCGCGCAGACTTGACGACTTCCAGCCTCCCCAACAAGCCGGTTTCCAAAAGGGCTTTAGCACCATAGACCACATACATAGGCTTCGGCAAATTGTACAGAAGTCCGAGGAGTACAATTTGCCACTATGTCTGGCGTATGTGGACTATAAGAAAGCCTTCGATTCCGTCGAAATTTGGGCGGTGCTGCAGTCCCTTCAGCGGTGCCAAGTTGACTATCAGTATATCGAAGTGCTGAAGTGCTTGTACAGTAGGGCTACGATGGCTATCCGAGTACAGAACCAGAGTACGTAACCTATCTAATTGCAGAGAGGTGTAAGACAGGGTGACGTTATATCCCCGAAACTTTTTACCGCTGCATTAGAAAACGTTTTCAAGTTTCTGGACTGGATAGGATACGGTATTAACATCAATGGCGAGTACATCACTCACCTTCGATTTGACGACGATATAGTCCTTATGGCAGAATTGCTGGAGGACCTAAGCACTATGCGCAATAAACTCAATAGTGTTTCCCAACGGATAGCTCTTAAGATGAACACTGACAAAACAAAGATCATGATTAATGTCCATTTCACACCTATGCCGGTAGTTGTTGGGAGCACTAAGCTCGAAGTTGTTGACGAGTATGTTTACCTGGGACAAATAGTTCGACTAGGTAAGTCCAACTGCGACCGATAGGTCAATCGACGGATTCAACTCGGTTGGGCAGCGTTCGGGAAATTACGGCATATCTTCTCGTCAGGTATATCTCAAAACTTAAAAACGAGACTGTACAACCAGTGCGTGTTGCCAGTGACGAGTTATGAAACTGAGACGTGGACTGCTGGCCGTATGAGGAAGCTCAAGTTCACTCATCGAGATATGGAGAGGGCTATGCTCGTAGTTTCTCTGCGTGATAAACTTAGAAATTATGATATCCGCAGTAGAACCAGAGTGACTGACATAGGCCGACGGATTAGTAAGCGGAAGTGGCAATGGGTCGGCTATGTAGCTCGAAGAACCGACAACCGATGGGGATATATTTTTTGTTGTGGCGGCCTCGTACCTGCGGACGAAGTATAGGGCGTTACCCCCAACTAGAAGGAGTAACGACCTGGTAAGACATGCAGGAAGTCGATGGATGCAGGTGGCTCAGGACCGTGCTTTGTGGCATTACTTCGGGGAGGCCTATGTTCAGCAGTGAACTTGTGAAGGGCTGTAATGATGATGATGATATATAAGAAAACGAAAATCCTCGACTAAAAACCCAAATGAAAATGCGTTGTCAACCCCTGATAATTAAGGTGGAAAGCCTCGTCAACTCAACAACATCATTAACCTACTATTTTAAGCAGGTATTCTGTGAGAACGTGGTCCTTCCCCGGTTCCTATTTTCGCTACAACTATATAGCTGTAGTATGGCTCTACTACGTATAAAAGCAACATGCACAAGCACAAGAGATTATTCGTTGTGTCGGATGCCATATTTTGAAAATAATTTTCAAACTTTTAAGATATACAATATATATATATATATATATATATATATATATATATATATATATATATACAATATATATACAATATTTAACAGTGGTAGAGCCAAGCGGTAGCTTTTGCTGTCGCACGGATGGGCCAGCTCGAACCGGGGTGGTACCACGACCTCACAGAATACCAGCGTGAAGTAGAGGTTTACCTCTGCGTTGCGCTTGGTGAGTGCAGGTGGCCGGAGGCCCAATTTCCCCCCCCCCCCCCATCAACATGGTAGTGGAATTAAATACAAGACTACCCCAGGAGGGTACCAGCACCCCTGGAGAATCCCTCGCTGAGCATCCACGAACAAACTACTTCACTCTTGAGCGTGGGTGCTCAGGCTGCCCCGCGTATTCTGGGGGGGGCAAAATTCCGCTCATGACTAATGCTGCTCGGGGCAAGCGGAGCAATACAACCAAGGCGACCCCTGTCACGCTATCCGTGAATTTTTGCAACATCAGGGGAATTCATTCCAACCTTAACGCTGTCCATTACCATCTAGAGACGGCGAAGCCGGCCTTGCTCTTTTTAACCGAGACTCAGGTGTCCTCTCCGGCTGATACTTCATATCTCTCCTACCCGGGATACAAATTGGAACACTCCTTTGTGCCCCGGGCTGGAGTTTGCGTATACGTCAGAGAGGACATCTGTTTTCGACGCCTCGGCAGCCTTGAAGGTACGGACCTGTCCATCCTATGGCTGCGCGTAGACAGCGACGACCATCCCCGCGTCTACGGGTGCCTCTATAGGTCCCATAGCGGTAATGCCGACACAGACCGACTCATCGACCACGTCCAAATGGCTGCAGACTCCGTGCTACAACAGGTCCCATCCGCAGAGATCGTGATACTCGGTGATTTCAACGCCCACCACGCTGAATGGCTTGGTTCTCGTTTAACCGATCATGCGGGTAGATCTGTCTACGACTTTGCTTTGGCATATGGTCTAACACAACTGGTTACTTCGCCTACGCGGATCCCAGATGTGGAAGACCATGTACCTTCCCTGTTGGACCTTCTGCTGACCTCTCATCCGGACGGATATCAGGTCTCCGTCGATGCCCCTCTGGGCTCTTCGGACCATTGTCTGATCCGGAGCACGGTGCCACTCACGCTCCAATCGCAGTTGCGATCTACAGCTTGCCGCCGTGTTTGGCACTATAGGTCAGCTGATTGGGATGGGATGCGGTCTTTTTTTGCATCCTACCCTTGGGGGCGGGTTTGCTTCTCGCCGGAAGATCCCAGCGTTGTTGCCGATTCTGTTGCTGATGTGGTGCTTCAGGGTATGGAACTTTTTATTCCATCCTCTGTGGTGCCCATCGGAGGCAGATCCCAGCCATGGTTTGATCGCTCCTGTAAAATAGCATCACACTATAAGCAGGAGTGCTACCGGGCCTGGGCTGACGCATCAACGTCTCGGGATTTAAACACCAGCGCACTTAAAAAGAAGTATAATTCCGCCTCCAGGTCCTTCAAAAGCGTCATTGCCAAGGCAAGGTCTGAGCACATCGGCAGAATTGGCGAGAAGCTAGTTCGCCTTCCTTCGGGAACCCGTGCATTCTGGTCTCTCGCCAAGGCTGTCCAAGGGAACTTCTGTCAGCCATCCCTCCCATCTCTGCACAGAGAGGACGACTCACTGGCCCATGCCGCAAAAGAGAAAGCCGATCTGTTGTGCTCTCTTTTTGCGTCTAACTCGACTCTAGATGACGGGGGGAGCACACCGCCGACCATCCCGCGATGTGAGTGCTCCATGCCGGATGTGCGATTTACACAGCGCTCGGTTCGCAAAGCACTCTTCTCCCTGGACGTCAGTAAGTCGAGTGGGCCCGATGGAGTCCCTCCCATTGTGCTGAAGACGTGTGCTCCAGAGTTGGCACCGGTTTTAACGCGTCTTTTCCGGTACTCCTACTCCCAAGGCGTAGTCCCGAATTCATGGAAGACAGCTTTGGTCCACCCGATCCCTAAAAAAGGCGACCGCTCAGACCCGTCCAACTACAGGCCTATCGCCATCACCTCCTTGTTCTCCAAAATAATGGAATCCATTATAAACTGCCAGCTCATGAGGTACCTTGAGGATCACCAGCTGATCAGTGACCGTCAGTACGGTTTTCGTCGGGGTCGATCAGCAGGTGATCTTCTAGTTTACTTAACTCATAGATGGGCGGAGGCAGTAGAGTCCAAGGGGGAGGCATTGGCCGTTAGTTTGGACATAGCGAAGGCCTTCGATCGGGTCTGGCACAAGGCGCTTCTTTCGAAGCTTCCTTCCTATGGGCTTCCCGAGAAATTGTGCAAATGGATCACCAGTTTCCTTGCTGATCGGAGCATCAAGGTCGTAGTAGACGGTGCATGCTCTGATTACAAGCCTATCAACGCTGGTGTTCCACAAGGCTGCGTGCTATCACCAACGCTGTTCCTCCTGCATATCAATGATATGTTGCTAACTGGTAGCATTCATTGCTATGCAGACGACAGCACTGGGGATGCCTTATATACCGGCCGTGCCAATATTTCTCGGGAAAACGTCGCCGAGTACCGGGACAAACTTGTGTCTGAAGTCGAGTCTTTGCTTAACAAAGTCTCGGATTGGGGCCGACTAAATCTAGTCCAGTTCAATCCCCAGAAGACACAAGTTTGCGCGTTTACCGCTAAAAAGAACCCCTTTGTCGTATCTCCTCAGTTTCAAGGCACTCCCCTTGCTGCCTCAGCCAGTATCGGAATCCTTGGCGTCGACATATCGAATAGCGTGCAGTTTCGTGGTCACTTGGAAGGGAAGGCCAAATTGGCCTCTAAAAAGCTTGGCGTGCTCAGCAGAGCGAGACAGTATTTCATGCCGGCACATCGCTTGCAACTTTACAAAGCTCAAGTTCGGCCCCACATGGAATACTGTTCTCATCTCTGGGCCGGGGCACCCCAGTGCCAGCTCCTTCCACTTGACCGCATCCAGCGCAGAGCGATTCGAATCGTCGACGACCGAGTTCTTTCCGATCGGCTCGATACACTGGCACTGCGTAGAGATGTTGCATCTCTTTGCGTATTTTATCGCATCTATCACGGGGAGTGCTCTGAGGAATTGTTCGGACTAATTCCAGCCGCTCAATTTCACCATCGCACGTCGCGACAAAACTCGCGTTACCATCCGTACCATCTGGATGATTGGCGGTCCACCACTGTGCGATTTAGAAGAAGTTTTCTCCCTCGCACAACTTCTTTGTGGAATCAATTACCACCAGCGAATTTTCCGAACCGATACGACTTAGGAACCTTCAAGAAAAGAGCTTACACCTTTCTAAAAGGCCGGCAACGCATCTGCAATCCCCCTGGTGTTGCGGTTGTTCATGGGCGGCGGTAGTCACTTACCATCAGGTGAGCCGCATGCTCGTTTGCCCCCTATTCTATAAAAAAAAAAAAAAATATATATATATATATATATACATATATAATGTGAATACAAAGGTACGGAACTCTTCATATGTGAGTTCGACTCGCACTTGGCCGGTTATTATCATTCTTTTCACTGATCTTATAAGTTATAATGGGAATAAATTTTATAATCATTTAAGAAATCCTCGTCCGACCTCCGCCAAATTTTTAAAACAAAGCTATGAATTAAATATGAAGTAGATATTTCTTAAGAGAAAGATGATTATTTAACTAAACCTCCACTCTACTCATACTTCGCTCAGTAGCAGCTCTCTAACGTGGAGATATAATGCATATCAAGGTCGAAGAAAATTTGCATTTTTCACGTCAACAACCCCAGCTTTCTACTTTCACGTATACGTTCGGGAATAGAATTTTAATGTTGTAAGATACTTCTCCATTGGTTTTAATGAGTGTATCATTTTCTGTAAAATTCTGAACTAATATAAAAAATAAAATGAATTAATATTTAAACTGTCACAAGTTTTGTTTGTTTTTTTTTATATTTAAGGATCCGTAATTAGAGCCATGGTTCATTCATTGTAATTGTAAAGACAGGTTTTCTTAAACATTTACCATCATTATCATCATCATTACAGCCCTTCACAAGTCCACTGCTGAACATAGGCCTCCCCCAAAGAATGCTACAAAGCACGGTCCTGAGCCACCTGCATCCATCGACTTCCTGCAAATCTTACCAGGTCGTCACTCCATCTAGTGGGGGGACGCCCTACACTTCGCCTGCCGGTACGAGGCTGCCACTCGAGAACCTTTCTTCCCCATCGGTTGTCGGTACTTCGAGCTATATGGCCGGCCCATTGCCACTTCAGCTTACTAATCCGTTGGGCTATGTCGGTCACTCTGGTTCTACTGCGGATATCCTCATTTCTGAGTTTATCACGCGGAGGAACTCCGAGCATAGCCCTCTCCATAGCTCGCTGAGCGACCTTGAGCTTCCTCATCCGGCCAGCAGTGAAGGACCACGTCTCAGTTCCGTATGTCATCACTGGCAACACGCACTGGGTGTACAGTCTCGTTTTCAAGTTTTGAGGTATACCTGACGAGAAGATGTGCCGTAATTTCCCGAACGCTGCCCAACCGAGTTGAATCCGTCGATTGACCTCTCGGTCGAAGTTGGACTTACCTAGTCGGACTATTTGTCCCAGGTAAACATACTCGTCAACAACTTCGAGCTTAGTGTTCCCAACAACTACCGGCATAGGTGTGACATGGACATTAAACATGATCTTTGTTTTGTCCATGTTCATCTTAAGACCTATCCGTTGGGAAACACTATTGAGGTCATTGAGCATAGTGCTTAGGTCCTCCAGCGATTCTGCCATAAGGACTATATCGTCGGCAAATCGAAGGTGAGTGATGTACTCGCCATTGATGTTGATACCGTATCCTTTCCAGTCCAGAAGCTTGAAAACATCTTCCAATGCAGCGGTTAAGAGTTTCGGGGATATGACGTCACCCTGTCTTACACCTCTCTGCAATTGGATAGGTTTCGTACTCTGGTTCTGTACTCGGATAGCCATCGTAGCCCTACTGTACAAGCACTTCAACACTTCGATATACCGACAGTCAACTTGGCATCGCTGAAGGGACTGCAGCACCGCCCAAATTTCGACGGAATCAAAGGCTTTCTCATAGTCCACATACGCCAGACAGAGTGGCAAATTGTACTCCTCGGACTTCTGTACAATTTGCCGAAGGGTATGTATGTGGTCTATGGTGCTAAAGCCTTTTCGGAAACCGGCTTGTTCGGGAGGCTGGAAGTCGTCAAGTCTGCGCGCGAGACGATTCGTAATGACTCTCGAAAACAGCACGTAGACGCGGCTCAGAAGGGAAATCGGTCTGTAGTTCTTCAAGAGAGCGTTGTCGCCTTTCTTGAAGAACAAGACCACCGCACTTCTGCTCCACGCCTCCGGTGTAATGCCACCATGGAGGACGGAATTAAAGAGCTTCTGAAGGACTTCAAGTACCGGTTTTCCACCCGCTTTCAGAAGCTCCGCTGTAATTCCATCCTGGCCTGGGGCCTTGCCGTTTTTAAGGTGCTGGAGAGCCATTCTAATCTCGCTCAGACTGACGTCCGGGATATCATCGGAATAATGTCGGATAAGACTCGCTCTTGGATCGTTACTCACACTTGCGTGTGGCTCCAACGATGACGTGTACAGCTGCCCATAGAACCTCTCAATCTCACTCAAAATCTCAGGTGCCCCGGAAACGATGCTGCCACATTCGGTCTTCAGCTTTGACAGTTGGCTCTTTCTGGCAGACAGATCTCTGGCAAAGACTTTGGAGCCTTGGTTCCGCTCGATCGCTTCTTCAATACGAGCTGTATTGAAGTTGCGTAAGTCCCGCCGCATGCATTTGGAGATCTGTCTGTTCAGTTGCCTGTATGCTGTTAAATCTGTTGAAGAATGTAGCTTCATCTCCCGTCTAACAGCCATGAGATTAAGAGTTTGATCGGAGAGTTTTTGTGTTCTTCTGCGGCGGGTCTTGCAGAACTTAGCTCCGACCGCATGGACAGTTTCCACGAGCTTGTCATTCAAATCGTCCACTTCATTGCAGTCTTCTAGGCACTGAAAACGGTTTTGCAACTCGAGCTGAAAGGTTTCGGGACTTTGGATTAGAGCACGAGGGGGACGGAGCGTTGACTTCATTAGACGAGACCTCTCCAACTTAACGTTAGGTTCAGTGTGCCTCTAACCATTCGGTGATCGCTGCCGGTTTTCACCCTCGCGATCACTGAGACATCACTGAACAGTTGTCGTCTGGTCGCAATAATGAAGTCAATCTCATTTTTTGTCGAACCGTCGGGGCTCGACCAGGTCCACTTCCTGTGGGGCCGCTTCTGGAAGAAAGAGTTCATCATAAAGAGTCCCTCTTTCTCCATGAAGTCGGCCAACTGCTGGCCCCTTGGGTTCCGTTGCCCTATTCCAAATTTCCCCACTTTCAGCTCACCGTTCTCTCTTGTGCCTAGTTTTGCATTGAAGTCTCCCATTAACACCGTATATTGGGTTTTGGAGGAATGCATGGCTCTAGAGATATCCTCATACATTTCCTCCACCTCCTGATCGGGGTGTGCCGAGGTTGGTGCGTAAACCTGTATGACCTTCAGCGAATACCGTTTGGTGATTCTGAGTATAAGGTACGCAACCCTCGTCGACACACTCTCAATCTTTACAACGTTGTTAACGAGAGACTTGTGGACGATAAATCCGACACCTCCTTGGGACAGATGGTCGCCCTCCCGGTGATAGAGCAAGTTGCCGGATTCGAGGATTACCGTGTCCTCCCCCTCTCTTCGGACTTCGGATAATCCTATAATATGCCAGCGTAACTTGTCTATCTCTTCTTCCAGCTCCACAATCTTCTCGTCAGTCCTCAGGGTGCGTGCGTTGTATGTTGCCAGGTCGAGTCGTTGTAGGTGGCAACCGAACCTCCACCGGAGATTCTTAGCACCCCCTGCCCCGCCGTTACCATGGTCGCCACCGTAGCCAGGAATAGCGGGGCCGCCGGGGACTGGGGGCCGTCTCTTCGTAACTTTCATTATGGGGGGTATATTGCCATAGTTGCCACGCTTGGCGAGCGGGTTGGCAACCGCAGTTTTCTATTGTATTTTGTCGTTACCAGGAAGATGCTGCTGCCCATCTCCTGCCTGTTTCCCTTTGTCGCCTTTTACGACACCCACGGGAAGATATGGGGTAGTGGATATTCTTAACCGCCACTACACGGCGTACATTTACCAATGACAATTTTTTTTAATAATTACGAAATATTTTTGTTACTGTTTGGCAGATTTTAACATAAAATTCTACAGGGAAATCAGTTAACCGCATGCCGGAGTCGAGTATTAGAGCTTCAATATTTAAGAATTTAGTTAATGACTTCCGTTATTTCTATTAGCTATTTATTGAACATATTGGGAATATTGAACACATTGAACATATTGAATACATTTTGAAAAGGTAGTATGTATAATAGAATATATATTTTATTTATATATTCTATGATACATACTGTCTGGTACAAATATCAGTAAGTCTTACATATTTCAAATTCCACTATGATATGATTATGTTAGAATTATAGAAAATAAACTTTAATATACAGGGTGTTTTTGGAACGCTCCCGAAAACTAAGACAGGCGACAGCACCAAGTATACCTTTGATCATGGGTCACAAATAAATTTGATCCTGATGAAAAAAAAAATTATATTTTACAACGTTTTATTAGCTTTATTCACGCGCCATCATGTTAGTACAGCTAAATGAAACGATAATTTCATAAAAAAAATCATGAAAATACTGAAACATAAAACCAGCAGTGGAAACTGAATTGATATCACCTGACTAATGGAGGTTAATGTACGAGCGAACGGTGAAAAAGGAACGCTGGCCTTGAACTTGGGCACTGAGCGATTTATCACATATTGGTACGAAGGGGGCGCGACGGGGGAACAATCCGCCAGTATTACTGTGCCTGCATGCTATTGGTTCCCGCGCTTTGTTCGCTCCAAAAATACAGTCGCATACACAGCTTACTTTGTGACTCGCGACGATGTTTTAAAAAGGAAGGAAAGAAAAATTATTTATATCTATTGTTTTATGACTGAACTAGTGAACGAAAAGGTAAATATGATAGGAGAAGGTGAATGGGGAAAATTGTGCAATAAAGTTAAAAGTGTTGAGGAAGAATACCGAAAAACTTACCATGTGATCGACCTGATGACGGAAGCTCAAGCGAAGATGAAAGTGATGATGAAGTAGCATCCAGTAACACCAACAAACCATCAACATCTGGCTTCCATGTGACCCAAGACGACATAATGGACGGCGTGTCACCCTTAGCTTAAGTTTTCTTGTTACAAACTACTTTATATTTTACGATAGAAATAATAAATAATGCTCAAGTAA